CCAGGCTTATGGTAATTCCTTGATATTTGACCGTTGTTGAGTATTGACTCAAGTTGGGATTCATTTTTTGAAGTTAATTATTGGAACGAGATTGATTATTGTTGATTCCCTTGCCGGGATGTATTTATTTCCATTGTTGGTTCCCTTGCCGGGATGTTATTGTTTATGATATTGTTTCCCTTGCCAGGATGTTATTGCTTATGATATTGTTTTCCTTGCCGGAATATTGTTGTTATACTATTGTTCCCTTGCCGGGATCCTTTGTGATTGGTGTTGACTTGTATATTGGGATCGGGTTGCACGCTGCAATAATATTATATGGGATCGGAATGCACGCCGCAACAATATTATATGGGATCGGGTTGCACGCCGCAACAAGGAGTAACAAGGGTGACAGGTGGGGTCGGGTTGCACGCAGTAACAAGAAAGAATAAAAGTGAATATTGATTGCATGGTGAGGATTGAGAGTTAAAGCACGAAGGGTGATGCCGTGTACTTTCTATTTGCTGTGTTTATTTGTTGTTATCAATTCAGGTGTTTTAACTGTTTAGATTCCTTTACTGCTGTGATCCTTTGTGTTGGAATTCATAGTGTTTTCAATACCTCGCCGTATTTATATATACATATTTCAATACTTCAAATTTCAAAATTGTCACATTTTTAATTCAATTGGTTACTCAATTAAATTCCCTTAAACCGTCTGAAGTTGTAATTTACTTAAAAAGGAATTTCTACTAAGTTAATTTATTAAATCCCATGTTAAAGGTAATAATTCATTCGATGTGGTATTTTAAATTGAAAATGGTACTTTCTTTATTCAAATGATTTCTAAAAATAACTTCATCTTTTCTTGCTGAGTTCCTAATTGATTTAGAAGTTGTACTCTACTTTATGTTATGTGAATGAGACTCCTGGAACATCTTAATTGCATTAGTTATGGGTCCTATGTACTGAGTAACATGAGAACGTTGTTGTACAAAGTGAGACAAAATATGTGGGCACAAGGTGCCGGGTGTGCTAAAAGTTTGGAAGTTGAGGTTATGATATGAGACATCGAGTTCTGAGATGGCTGGGGTTGTGCACCAGAAACGATATGATTGATTGAGCTGACACTGTCTTCCTTACTTGAGTTCATTCTACTTCTCTGTGTTCCAGCTATGTTTGTGTTGATTTATTTGGTTATCTTTCATCTCCATCCGAGTTTCCTTTTATTATTTCCTGAGATTCCTTGGAAGGGCGACGTAAGGCTAGGCAACTGATGTCAGTGCAGTTGCTGTCCGCCAACTGAGGTCCCCTCCGTACGCTAGACGAGATTGTCAGTGCCGTACGGGAAAACCAATGTCAAGAGTAATTGAGAGAACCGAAGTGAGAATTCAGAATGAAAGAAAGCTTGATTGCATTAATGAAAGCTATTACAGAAAAGCAACGCGGTGTCGAGGGGGAGAGACACCAGTACAGAGAATTGCTTGCTTGCTAGAAAGTTTTGATTGCTTGATCCCCCCTAATAGTACTTAAAAAAAATAATCCAAAGTTACAAGACTAGACTTGACTAAGCTAGAGAAACATAATGGAAGTACATGAAATAAAACTACTCTATATTTACAATGAAAATGACTTAGTTTTCTATAAGGCAGCAACAGGTCCGTTGTCAGCAGCAGTGTCTTTGGCATCACGGTCTGCGCGCGCGGTGTTGTCTGCGCGCGCGGCGCTGTTGGCTTCTGCCTGCGGCTTGGCGCTCGCGAGGGATATCGGTGGGGCGACAGAGGCACCTGCGCGCTTGTCACTTGGCGCGGCCAAGACCACGGGGCCGTCCGTGGCGCTAGGCATTGGGAGGTTCGCTAGGACGCCACGGGGCGCGCCCAAGGGGTCATGGGGCATGGCTGGAAAGCCGCCCATGACATTCTCCCCCACCTGAGTTGGCGACGTCCTCGGCGCCTTACTTGCAAAATAATCTTCAATGAGGCTCTTGTAGGCTTTGAGGTTTGTTCCCCTCTCCCAAGTATTCTCTTCTGCATCACAGCCCTGCCATTTCACCAAAAACTCTTGGTGATCTTTCCTTGAGGCATGAATCACTCTGTCATCAAGGATAGCTTCAACACGCCTTTTCCCGGTTGAATTGGGACCTCGAATACTGGGTATTGTGAGCTGGCTCCTTGAAGGATCCTCCGTGTCTTCCCGAAAAGGTTTCAGGAGACTGACATGGAAGACAGGATGAATTTTCCACCAAGCTGGGGTATCCACCCGGTATGCAACCTTCCCAATACGCTTTTCAATGGACAAGGGTCCAATGTATTTTGCAATAGGCGAGGGTCATGGACCCCTGCAAATAAGTACCGCTTTGAATTTTGACCATCACTTTGTCTCCTACTTGATATTCAACAAAGCGACGATTCTGATCAGCATGCCTCTTCATCCGCTTTTGGGCTTTGACAAGGTAGCTCCACACTATCTCCAAATTCCGCCTCCACTCTTTTGAGAAGCTGGCAGCTCGAGGAGATTTAGCCATGTTTGGTGCATTCACAGTGGGTGGGAGTAGCGGTTGCTGTCCGGTAACAATTTCAAAAGCGCTTTTGTTGGTACTAGAGCTCTTTTGTGAATTGAAACACAGTTGAGCAGCATCCAGAAGCTTCACCCAATTCTTCTGCGATCCGGTTACAAAGTGGCGGAGATATTCCTCCAACATACCTCCGTCTGGCCATCAGATTGCGGATGAAAACTTGAGCTGTGACTCAATTTTGACCCAAGGCACTTGAACATTGACTGTTCCTCGTCACTACCCCGTCGAGGTTAGTCTTGATACTTACTGGGCACCGTCGTGGTGTGCCCATACTACACTTTTGTACATTTTTGTGTACAAATCCAGGAATTGATCGATAGTAGCTGTGCAGATCGTCGTGGTGGAGACTCAAAGTAACCTGCTGCTGAGTTCGCAGGCCTCGGAGTCACCTTCGTTTGTATTTACGTTCCATTGATTCCTTCTCGTTCTGGGACAATGTTGTATTTATTTTGTATAATTTCTCTTAGAAAGGCTTATGACTTGTACCACCGGTTTTGGGAATTGTACTTTGTTCCGAGTAATTTAATTTAAAGTTAGTAAATATCCATGTTATGATAGAAAAGGTTAGGCTTACCTAGTTTAGAAACTAGGTGCCATCACGACTCCTTTGGAGGGATTTCGGGTCGTGACATCAGTATATAATTCATGTACACTGTTTGACCAAAAAGTATTAAGCCTTTTGATTAAACCAATTAATGATGAGAAGAGGGGTGAATCTTAGTTAAGAATAATAAATCTAGACCAAATGTTAGATGAAGTAGACAAGATGAACGACGTTAGCTAATATGTTTGAGCTGATTAAATGCTCATAAATGCAAAAATATAAATGTACAATGAATATAAATAAATGTGACTAGCATAATAAAAGGAAGTTACTACCCAATTATTGTAAGATTCAGAAAGCTCCTTCCCCTGACATCAGCGTGGAAAGAAGAGAAATTAGAGGAGGTTGAGGAATCTTTGGATCTCGTAAATATAGAACCTAAAATGTATACTCGAGTAATGTAATCAATGAATGAGACAACTTTAGTATATTCTTTCAGGTCAACCTTTTACAAAGTGTTCTTTCTCATAAAAAAGTGAAGATCCCTTTTTGTTCTCTATCTCTTCTATTTACAAGGGACATTTCCCAAAAATCCTAAAAAGTACAAAGCAAGGAATATCCAAAGGAATATTCCTTGTTTCCATATTTGAACCTATGCTACCGTTATTTTCTCATCTCAGCTGCCCGTCTTTGGCATCAACCGTCTTGAGAGCAACCTTCAGTTGTTATACCAAGGCCGACCCCGTCCTTTGTCTTGCTTATCCGTTACTGTCGAGTCGCCAAATTTAGACCTATACATACACCGACTAGGAAAAGTAAATAATGAATATGACTGGCTATTTGGGTAAATATGAGGAAAAACGCGAAAAACTATTTGTCAATTAAACTATAAACCGCATAGTACCGAAAAGGGCTGAAGATGCTCTTTTTAAATGAAGAATTAATCAAACAGTCGCTCATCCAACCACTCAAACTAAAAATAACCAGCAAATGCATTATATATATATATATATATATATATATATATATATATATACCGGCTAGGAAAAGTAATAGCGAAAAAGATAACTTTTTTATTCCCCTATTACATCATATCATATCTATTGGCAAGAAGGGAGAAAGGGAATCATATCACATTCCAAAAGTGACCAAACATTTCCGAATAATTGCAAACCTAGTCCTTTTGTTTGGCTGAAGAATGTAATGATCAGATCGATTAATTACTACAACTAGCAACGATAACAGAATAAGTGCAACTAATAGAAGGCAGATTACAAGAAGATTTTGTAAAAAAAAAAGGAGATTTTGTTGTTTAGATCTTTAGAGTAAATATGTTTTTACATTAAATGTGAAAAGAGAAATTATTTTAATTACTTGTAATCTTAAGATCATCGTTATAATTTTTTTTCTCTTTGCTGCCTTCAATTTGGTAATGTACAGTTGCAATTATTCAAAATGTTTTCTAAAATTAAAAAATGAAGAAATATATAACTTATTATTTATCGATGATTATACAGAATAAATTAAAATATTTCTTCATTCGTTTTAAAGAGAATAACACAATTCCTTATTAGCCTGTTTAAGAAGAATGTCATATTTCTATAATTGAAAATAATTAAACATGATTTTTCGTTTAACAATTAACGGGAATTTTTGGTAGCTACAGAAATAATATAACATATTTAAGATCACAAAATTTTCTTATAACATATAAAGATTAATCGACATTTAAAAGATATCAGAGATATTGAACCTAAGCAAGCCTCATGGATGGTGAAAAAGATATTGAAGGCTAAGCAATACATGCTAGATGCTGGAGTAAACCTGACAGAGATTTTTGAGAAGGAGTACATATCCATCAACAGCATATACAAGATGTTAAGAAGTGAACAATAAAAAATGCCTTGGAGGAAACTGGTATGCAATAATGGTGGAATGCCAAACTGGACTTTTATTCTGTATTTGGCTATCATGGGCAAGCTGAATACTAGGGACATATTAGCAAGATAGGGGGTGACTAATGAGCTACTATGTCCTTTGTGCAGTACAGAAGAAGAAAGCATCGAGCATTTGTTCTTCAAATGCACCTTTGCAGAATCAATATGGATGAAACTATTGCAATGGATGGGTATCAATAGACAAGCTATGAAGTGGAGTCAAGAAGTAGTATGGGCATACAACAATGCAAAAGGCAGATCAGCAAATGCTGAGATATATAGAATGGCTTTAGCTGGTTGTGTCTACTATGTGTGGCAGGAGAGAAATCACAGGATTTTTAGAGCAAAGCAAAGGCAAGCAGGGATAATGATAAAGCAGATTATACAAATGATATGCGAAAGGGGCTATATGATGTCAAGACTAAGAAGAAGACTTGAAGACTTGAACTTCTACCCATGATCAAAAGATGAAGTACTGGCAGTACAATACAACTGATACATTTAGGAATGATAGTCAGTAGGTAGTATGGGGAGTTTGAGTGATACTAAGCCCTGGGAAGATGTCCAGACTTAGTGATGTCTTGTTTTTGAGCTGTAATTTTCGTGCTTTGGTAATAAAATATGATAATTACCAACAAAAAAAAAAAGCACAGGTTTTCGAGAAGTTCATTTTTAAATTTTTTTTTTTTTTTTTTGCTTCTTTTTCATCCTTTTTAGTCTATCGGAAACAACCTCTCTATCTTCACAAGGTAGGGATAAGGTTTGCGTATACGTTACCCTTCCCGGACTGCATCTTATGGGGTTGCACTAGGATTGTTGTTGTTATTATTATTATTTTTTAAAAATTTTGTACCCAAATTAGAGCAAATAAATTGAATCGAAAAGAATACATCTAATTGGATTTTTCTATTATTTGAAAATAAAAATTAATAATATATCCTACGAGATTTATAGCCTGTTTGGCCATTTTTTTTTTGTCAAAAGTATTTTTTTCAAAAGTTAAGGCGTTTGACCAAGCTTTAGAAGAAAAAAAATATATTTTTGACTAGAAGCACAAGCAGTTTTTGAGAAGCAAAAAAATAATTTCTCTCCTAAAGTACTTTTTTAAAAAGCATTGTCCAGTAAAAAACACTTAGAAGTACTTTTTACAAGTTTGGTCAATCACTAACTGCTGCTCGAAAGTACTTTTCAAATTTATTAGTCAAACACAAACTACTTCTCGTAAAAAAATATTATTTGAAAGAACTTTTGAGAAAATAAATATTTTTTAAAATAAATTAATTTAAAAATTTAGCCAAATATGCTATTAAATTGAGCTGCTACATAAAAAGAAAAGAAAGAGAAAAGGAGAATAGAGGGGGAGAAATTTATGGAAATAAAAAGAAAGCAGAAGGCAAAACTAAAGGAAGGTGACCGGTAGCCATCATAGGTGCGTGGAGCTGAAGTACCGAAAGTAGAGAGAAAAGTGGCATACATTAAAAGAAATAAATAAAAAATGAAGAAAAAAAAAACAGAGAAGAAAAATAGATGAACAAAAAGAGAAGCGGAAAATGGAGAGAAACAAAAGAGCGGAAGAAAGATAGAGACCACCGAAGGAAGTGGTGCAGTAAATGAGATTACTCTTCCCTTAATTAGAGCTCTCGAGTTCGAGCCCTGTATATGAAAATATCATTAACAGGGAGCGATGTCCCCCAAATGGAATCATACATGGCGCGAATCTGCATATAATCGGTTTCCAATACGAATACCGGACAACGAATGAAAAAAAAAAAAAAAAAGGAGGACGAGAGAAAACGGCAGAGAAAAACAGACTTAAAATTCGGTACACATTTTTCATTTAATTTAGTATAATAGATATTAGTTATGTTCGAGTCAAACATGTGTACAAAAATACAGGTTGATAATTTTATATTGTCTATCAAAATTTTAAAAAGAGTACTTACATAAGTATTGTTCTACAATTTAAATTTTAAATTTCTAAATAGTTACTCTTGTACAATAAATAATAGGACATTACCTTAGAGATGATCTAATAGACATCAAATTCGGCGTATATTATTTACTTCTTATTTTAAATGTCAATTATCCGTAATAAAGAAAAAACTATATGTAAATTTTAAAGAATGTCGGTTATAAAAACTCAAATTATTCGTTCAATATCTAAACATTTATAGTAATATAATAGTTAAGATTATTTTATTTTTACAAATAATTAGTGCGAATCCTAACAAGTTTAAACTTGCCAAAGCTATTCAAGTCAAAATCTTCTTCTCACAGTAGTTTAAAATTAAACACAACGTACTTTGTTAATAGAGTAAATTAGGCATGCCAATTTTTTTTTTTTGTTAAATACAAAGTACTTTTAAGCTTTTCATAAAAGAAATTAGGCATACCCTATCTCCTTGTTTTTGGCACCATATCTTGTTTACACCTAAAAGTATGAGCTTTTAAAAAGCATATCACCTCAACGTAACTATTAATCAATTTGAATTAGTATCAAATATAAATATTTTATTATCAATTATGTTTGTAAGTTTATTCTCATTTTACTCCTGAATTTTTTAATTACTTTCTCTTATCAGTTTATGTGACACAATTTTTTTAATATGTCTAAAGAAAATACCTTATTGTTTTAAAAAATAATTTATTTTTTACCCTTTATTTTATCCTTATTTAGATGTTTTATGACGTACAAATATTTATGGTTTATTATAAAAATAAATTTCAATTTTTTAATCTTTGTTAATCTTCCTTGGAGCAACAATAAAGTTGTTTCTATGTGATCTATAGGACACGAGTTCGAACCGTGGATTCTGCCATTGATGCTTGCATTAGGGTATTGCCTACGTCATTCTCTTTGGGGTGCGGTGCTTCCCTGAACTCTACGTAAACGTAGAATGCCTCGTGCACCAGGCTATCCTTTTTTAAAAAAAAAAATATTTATACCGAATTAAACACCGTAATATTTTTTATTACGGATGGAGTAATTTTCTTTTCCTAAAATATTTATTTTGATTTAACGGGCGTTTGGACGTAGGAATTGTAAAAATTTGGAAAAAAATTAAGAAAAAATCAAGTGAAAATGGTATTTGAAAATTAGAGTTGTATTTGGACTAAGTATAATTTTGGGTTATTTTGAATTTTCGTGAGTGATCTGAAGTGAAAATTTTGACAAAATGGCTTTTTGGAGTTTTAAATTTTCGAAATTCATTTTCAAGTGAAAATTGAAAATTTGATAGTCAAACATTAATTACGGAAAAAGTAAAAAAAAAAACAGAAAAAAAAATCTTTTTTAAAATATTATCATTTTACCCATGAAAAACATTCTTATTACATTTCAAGCCACTCGTGTGTGTGTGTGTGTCATAAGCTGAATACCACGTGTCCCACTGAAAACAACTCCTCCTCCCATTTTCTCTTTTTCCTCATTAGAGTATACAACAACATAGGACTATTACAGCAGCACAGTTTTATCTATCACTCATCAAAATTTGGTAAAATTCTTTCAAGATTTTCTTTAAATGAGAGTGAAAGAGGAAAAGGGTGACTAATGATTGTTTGGTTCTAAGGAAAATTGAGAAAAAGTGTGTGTGTGTGTGTGTGTTTGAGGGGATATGTATACAGGAGGATTAGGAGGGCCAATGCGAAAATCATTTAAGGATTCTCTTAAACTTCTTGAAGCTGATATTCAACATGCCAATACTCTGTAAGTCAACTTTTTTTTTTTTCTTTTTTTCTAATTATTTTTCTTCTTAGCCAGTAAAAAAAGTGCTTTTTTCTTCATTTTTGGTCTCTATTGATATCTGAAAATCTTATGGTGTTTTAGGATTTACTGTGATTGCTTTAAAATTTTCTGAAATTTGTAACCCCTTTAGGATATTTTGTGGTTTTAACCTGTTTGAGTCAATTTTATTTCTTTTTTTAAAAAAAAAATATTTTGGTTCAGAATTTCTTTTTTACTGATATTTTTTTTTTTTTAAGTTTTGAAGTTTTAATCTTTCTATTGATTTTCTGAAACCTTTTCACCTCTTTAGGTTGTTTGTGGTTTCAACCCTGTTTGAATCATTTTTTATTTTTCTATTTTGGTTCAGAAATAATTTTTACTGATATGGGTTTTTGTTTTCTTGAATTTTTGAAATTTAATCTTATTATTTTATTCTACCTTTTGATAATTTTACCCTAAGGTGTATTTCTATAAATAAAGTTAGAATCTTTTTTTTTCTGGAGGTGGTTAATTTATTGATTTTGTTTTTTGGAGACTGTTTTGGCTACCAAAATGGGATTTTTGGAGTTACAGTTGCTAAGTAATTTGTGGCAGAGAGTATATATTTGATTAAGTGAGTTTGTTATGATCAGTGTTAGTTTGAAGTTCAATTCTTAATTTGATTGCTTCAGCTAGCGATAAAGGTAACATTTTCAATGCTAATTGATGCTTAACTTGTGAAGAGAGTTCTAATGTTCTTATTATGGAACTTTATTTATAAACTCTCAAAGCTTGTTTCTGTCATTGGATATTTGATTGTTGCAATCTGGTGTTAGAGCTGAAAATTTGACTCAAAAAAGTAAAATGCTGGTTATTTAGTAAGTCATTTTTCTCTCCATTAGTGCTCTTCTGTTTTGCCTTTGGTTTTTTCTTTTATCCTTCTTTTTAGTATAGAAAGTGTGTCTTGAGCCAGCTTGCATAAGCCTCGACTAATCCACTAGCCTGTCCACCTGTCCCTTGTGGACCCCTCTTTGCTTTCCTTTTCTAAGAGTGCTTTTTTCTTTTTCTTTTTTCCATGGGGGGTGGGGGTTTTGGGGTGGGGGTTGGGTTGGGTGGATCGACCAGCAACCCAGTGCTGGCATCGGCTCAGCAAGGGACTTGGAGGCAACACTAGAATGAAATATTATTAACCATTGGAACGTGGCATACAATTTAGTATCAAATAGACCAATTACCCACCTTTTGTCGACGGCATATCCATAAAATAGATCATTAAACACTAGGTGATTTCTTTCCATCCGCTTAACCCTTAGTGGGCAGAGTTACCCAGTACCTGGTGGGAGGTAGCAGGTACCCGGTGGAATAGTCGAGGTGTACACAAGTTTGCCTGAACACCAACATCAATAAAAATTGATCATTAAGAAAATGTTCCGACATCAAAACATAATGAATTGATGATTTGATTTGGTGACAATCATTTGCTGTTTGTGGTGAATGCGTCTCCAAATCGGGTAATGTAGTGTTTACCTCTGCCTTCTTGTTCGGTCTTTTTTCATCTGATGGGCGTAATTTCGAATGCAGTGCATCTGACTTTTCCGGGGAGTATGATGGAGCTTGCTTACAGATGCGAATGTCCTACAGTCCTGCGGCACACATCTTCCTTTTCTTAGTGCAATGGACTGATTGCCATCTGGCCGGTGCCCTTGGCTTGTTGAGAATTCTTATTTACAAGGTTTGGAATTGTTATATTTCATGCA